AACCTAAATGCAGAGGCTCCCAGAGTTGGGGCCTCACCCCAGAAGTCAGTGTGAAAAGCAATCCTACCAGGCATCCTTTACCCCTGGTGTCGTGCGAGTCTCACAGCACAAGAAGTACCCCAGAGGTGGCTGGTATCACAGGCAGAAACATGGGGATCTTGCTGTCACACCCTCCCGGGACACTGGGATGAGGAAGCATTGGTTTGTACCCTCAGCTCAGGGCTCAGTCACATGAAGGCATTGGGGCCACAATAGGAAGCTGGGAAGTTGATCTCTGGGAGGCCGAAGGTGCCCCAAGAAAGAGTTGTGAGAACGTCAGGAAAGAGGTCACTTAGACCACACCTGGCTCAGGAAGCAGGTGGGAGAGGGAGGAGGAGCAGGGGCTTGCCCTTCCTTGAGGACTCAGGTGAGGGAGGAGCCTGGGGTCACCCACATTCAGTGTGTTTCCCCTGTGTCCACTTGTGGCCCCTTGGCTTGATGGACCACTGCCCTCACCAGGCCCTGGGCTGGGAGGGACGTGGAAGAGGCAAGGCAGACAGGGGGTGGGGACCCTTCGGCTCCCAAATCGGACTCATGACCCACCTGAGGAAGAGGCTGTCTAGCAAGGGGGTGGGGGATACGGGAAGGGGTCCTTGGCCTGTGAGGGAAGCAGCAGTGGACTGGGCTAGGCTGGGGGCCTGGCGGGGGCAGTACTGGGGAGGAGCAATGTTTAACCCCGAGACCACAGTGTTGAGGCACAGAATGGAATATGGGAGTCCCAGCACTAGGGGCAGAAGATTCAGCTATGTGGTCCTCCCAGAACCCTTCAAAGAACTGTAGGACAGACTGGGACTGAAGCCCCCTCCAACCATCAGGCCTGAGCAGAGTTCTCTGAAGCCCTGACTGCTCCCTGACCCCAGTCTCCCTGCCTCAACCTCCCTCTGGGTCAAGGGCAGAGGTCAGAGTTCGAGTCACTGCCAGCAATTAGGGTTGGCAGGAGAAATATTCCCAGGCCTTATCTGGCATCTTGCACTGTACCCCACCCTCTGTATCCAGTCCCATGCTATGAAGGTTGCTGGCCCAAGTCCTAATGGGGTGCAGCAGGGGAGAGGGGGCAAGGATGAATAGAGGTAAGCCTGGGGTGATGTCCTCAAGTGTGGGGTCCCCAGACCCTAGGGGCCCCTTCCTACATCTCAGAGTAGGGAGGACAGGAGCCCCAGAGAGTGGCCAGGAGCCCCAGCATACTGCCCAGACCCTATGGGGAAGGTTGGACCTGTATGGCACCCACCCCCAGACTGACGCTGACCTCCCTCCCACCCTAGCCTGGGCACTGTCATCACTGTACTGTCCTGCCATCTGTTACATGGAGGCTGGAGCCAGTCTTCTCTCAAGGCCACTGTTCATGGTCAGTCCCCTATGGGACCCAGAATCTCACCCATGAGGCTGCCATCCACTGGTCCCTGTGCCTTTCTGCATAGCATTATGTCCTGTGTCCTCTACATCTTTCCAGGGGGCTGGGCCTGTGGCCTTCCCAGGGTGGGCTCATAGGTCCCTCGGCCTCATGGCCTTCCTTTGAGCTGTTACCTTGAACTCAGCCACCTGGGGCCTCTGAGGTCCAGGAGCAGCCTGGAGTCTGGCAGGTGGGTCTCTGTCTCCCCTCGGGCATGGGCTGGGGGTCCCGGTGTTACTGGCTGCTTAGGTCCATATGCTCAGGTTCCTTTGCTCACTGCTGACCAAATCATGACCATTTGTTTTGGTAAAAAGGAAAAAAGACTTCTCAAAGCTGGCACCAAGGAGATGAGGGCCCATTTGCCTCAAAACACCATCTATCTCCCTGTGTGCAGGTGAGTTGGGGGTCTTTTATAGCAAGGGACAGTGGAGGAAGGGATCTGAGGAGTCAGGAGATACATTCATGCTTGTTTTATCCCTTCCTGGACCCAAACCTCTCCTTTCCTTCCCCTCTGGGGAAAGGAAAATGGACCTGACCTCCTGGGGGCAGCATCTGCAGATTTTGTCCATTCATCAGAGCGGAGGAGAGCTGGAGGTGGGCATTTATGCCCCGAGGAAGTCTGGAGAATCTGTCTCTAAAGAAAAAAACCTATCTTTAAATATTTCATTTTGTAGTGCCTGTTACGCTGGCATAAGAGGGAAGAAAGGAGGAAGGACAGGTTCTCAGTCCCCGGTAAGGAGCCCAGAGGGGACTGAGAAGACCCCTCTGAGAAGACCACACCTCTGGGCTGCCTGAAGCCCCTGAGTGTGCAGAGGACCCGGACTGGACTATGTCTGGGACAGGGCCAGGCCAGCAGGCTGGGACCCTTGGAGGTCCCTGCAGTGGTGGGGGGCAGAGCCTTTGCACTAGGGGAAGCACCCTGTGGGGCTGGGCACAGTGGGGAGCAAGAGGGGACAGGGGCTGGGCAGGAGATGCTCACCTCTGAATCCTGAAGCCAAGGGTTCCCATGGGCCAGAGCAGCTTGGGGCCAGACAGGGCCTGGCTCATGAAAGGCCAGTGATCTCATCTGCATGCACATGTCGGGAATGTCAGGAACTGGGTGGATTTGCCTGTGGAAGTGGAGGCCTTGTCCTGGGCACATGGGCACTGGGACCATAAAGTCTGAGGTCCTGCGTGTGCATGAGCCAGGGCAGGTAACCACAAACCTGGCAACCTAACCCATAGCTGGACGCTGAGGGCTGCAGCTGCTACCCCTTCCACCCACTTCCCTCCTCTCCACTCCCCTTCAGGCTTGACAAAAGGAAACTCAGCCCTAGGAACCTTCCACTCCTCCCTCCCCGGATTCAGGCTCAGGAAACCGAAACTTAGCATCTGGGCTCCTCTCCCCGATCCCCCATCCCCTCCCACCTCTGGAACTGAGAAATGAGGAAATTCAGCCCCAGGGCTCCCGTCCCACCTTTGACCCTGTTTCCGTTTACAGCTCACTTCTGCTGGGCTCAGGAAATGGAAACTCTAGGCTCCCACAAGGGGGCAAGACCCAGGTTCTCCGTGTGCCCCCCTCCCAGCCTTCTCAGCCCTCCTGAGAGGCAGCAGGGACCAGACTGGAGCAATAGCCACCCCAGGAGATCCGGGTGGCCTAGACCTCAGCCCCAAGAGGATGCCCTTCAGAGGAGAGGGAGGGCTGGGGTCCCAGGTGCCAGACTGGAGAAAGGGAAGTAGCTTCAACTCCTGAGGCTCAGCATAGCATCCAGCTCTCAGAATGACAAGAAGAATCACCAAATTATTATCACCTGGGAGTCGAAGGTGCAGGTGGTTCCATGAGGGAGTGTTAGTGTCCCTGTCCTTCCCTCTTGCCGCATGGCTTCACTGTCCCTGGAGTGGAATCCTACCTCTTGGTCTTAAAGTGGAGCCCTGCACCGAGAACAGGACCAGAGGCGCACTCTCCACCTGAGGGCCATGGCCAGGGCATCCTGCAGGGCTGACTCCCATCCTTGTTTGTTCTTTTTTTTTGGTGCCAGGGATCAAACTGGGGACCTTGTACTTTTGAGGCAGGCAGCAGAACCACTGAGCTAAATCCCTGGCCCTGCTCCTCTTGCTTTTTTTTTTTTTTTGGTACCAGGGATCGAACTCAGGTCCTTGCGCTTGCGAAGCAGGCGGCAAAACCACTGAGCTAAATCCCCTCCTCTTGCTTAACACCCCAGGAACTGTTTTTTTCAGCCAGGATCCCCAGCTTTCCCCAGGGCTTGCTGAACTGGAATTGGTCACCTGTCTCTGAGAGCTGCCCTGGGCAGACACCTCTGCCTCTCTGTGAGGCTGGCTCCTTCCTAATGCTTTTAGGGGTCAGTCCTAGCCTTGTTCCCCTCTGGTGGCAATGATGTAGACACTTAAGATTTCAGGGTTCAGGTGCCCACCCTGAGCCTTGATGAAGAAACCACCATTCCCCTTCAGGGTGGTGTTCCTAAGACCCAGACCCCATCTGCCACCTGGACAGACAGGAACTCAAAATCAGATACACCCTGAGGCAAAATGCTAAGGGAAAGTGAGACAGTGGCAGCAGAGGTGGAAGCAAGGGTGAAAAGCCCACTCTGAAGCAATGAGCGCAGGCAGCCAGAGAGCAGCCCAGAGGTTCAGTCACCTGCTTTACACATTTCAGGCTGTCTATAAAGGTGTCTGCGATGTTACTGGGTCATCTGACCCATGAGGGGTTTCCTGGGCCGCAGGCTGAGGTGTTCTGTTTCTGTCTGTGGTGAGGCGTTTGGTGACATTTCCTTTCTTCACATTGCGTGTTTGTTCCATGGCCATTGTTCAGACACTGGTTGTTGCATTGGCCATGTGGCACAGTTTTAGATGGAGGAGTGGGGAGGGGGATCATGACCACAGCCACAGGCAGGTCCCACCTCTGCAGGCCCCTCCTGACACCAGGGAACAGCCAGAACAGAGTTCTGGAGCAGACCCTGCCCCAGTTCTGCCTTCCCCAACCTGAGACCCGGGGAGTGTCTGGAAAATACCAATCTTTGAAGGGCATCCAGACTCTAGGAAAGGAGCTTCCTGCATGTTCCTGCTCCCTCTTCCTGACAAGCCCATTGGCAAGAGCTCCATAAGCGGGGCACAGCTGTGGCCCTGGAACATGTTTCCACATTTGATCTGCAAAGGGCAAGTGGGCACAAGCAGGCCACTTCAGTTCCTGGGTGGCTGGGCTGTCGGAGATCTGAAGAGGTACTGAGTCCAGCCTGGCTTGCTCTTCCCATAGGCCCTGGGACAGCTACACCTGGGACTGCGCTCCCCCCACCCAGGCTGGCTGAAGCACCACTGGCTCCCACATCCCCAAACTGGGGTCATGACCTCCCTTCTTGACCTTGTGGTTCCCTTTTAGACCTCTGAAGCAGCTGGCTGTGGACTTAAGGGGGCCTTATCCTCCCCCACCACCCCAGTGGGCCTTTGTTTGGGGCTGTACCAGGGAGGATACCCAGGCCCTTCTGAACCTGAGGATCTCTGCTTCTCCCTCCCCAATATGGGCCCTGTTGGGAGGGGCCTCTGGCAAGGGGCAGGGGCACAAAGACAGCAATGCAGAGCAAGGGGTAGGAACACCATTTATTTGAGGCACCAAAGCAGTGGCAGGGCACCCATGTTGGGGTAGGGGGACAGGGGCTCAGCTGATTCTGGGGCGGGTGCCTGGAGCTGAGGGCATTAATAGCTCCCCCAAAGGTTACCCCTAAAGTTAGTGCATTGTGTGTGCAGAAATTCCAAGATAAGGGGCTTTCTGGGGTGCACCCACTGGGCCTGATACTTGTCCTGCTCTCCCCAAAATGTCCTTCCCCCTCCCTCAATGGCCTGCCAAAAGGACCTGGGGTTTAGGTGTTCCTCCTGTGCGTCTACAAAACTAAGTCCTGTCCCTAAGACCCTAAGGGTTCAGAGGGACAGGACTGAGCCCAGAAATAAGGTGGCACTGGGGAAGGGGTGGGTGTGGGTGCAGGGGTGGGCTGGGCCCTGGGGCTGAGGATCAGGCATGAGGAGGAGTTGGATGCTCCAACAGCCTCCTGGAGTCTGGAAGGGGCTGGGCTTTTCTTCCTGAGCTGGGGGAGCATGGGGGACCAGGTAAAGGAGCTCAGGGACTCAGTCGAAGCAAAACCGACAGCAGGCTGAACAGAAGCCCAAGGCCCAGCAGCAGGGAATTAGCCTGAGGCCCACCTCCGGCAGCGCTGAAGTTGCATAGGGAGCTCTGGCAGCATCTGGTGTCTACATTTACCACGCCGAGGTTAATGCTCGGGCCAGGGCAGGTAGGGGAGCAGCCCTTGCTCAGAGAGTAGCCAAAGTCCACAAGTTTTCCTGTGTGGAAAAAGAGGCTGTGAGGGGACAGGCTGACCACAGGTGACAGGAACACCCCCTGCAGAGCCCTAGCCTCAGGCCGAAGGAATGGCCAAGTGGGGACAGCGGGGCTGAGGCCTGGCCACTCCTCACTAGCACTTACCAATGCCACCGGAGGCAGAGAAGGTCACACAGTAGTTGTCAGAGTCTGAGCACATGGTTGGCTTCAGGCAGTAGAAATTGCTCTTCTGTTCAGTGCAGGAGAAGCACATCAGGGAGTGGGCTGCAGGAGGAGGGACACGCTGCAGGCTATGCCTCTCTCACCCAGGGGGAGGCCTTCCACTTTACCCTCCCAGTTCTGGCCCTCGACACCCAATTGCTTATGAACATTTATTGGTGACACCAGACCCTGGCCCTCCCAAGCTCAAGTGATCCTCAAATATAGGGTGACAAGTGAGAGGCCAGGCCAGCACGGAGACTTCCAGAGGGGCCAGGAGAACCCAGAGAGTCCCATGGGAGCCGGCCTGCAGGGGGTCCTGGTTTCTGCTCAGGGCAGAGTCGAGAGGGGATCCAGGACGGCTTGGCCTGTGAAGAAGTCCAGGGCCCCAGGCACCGCACCTTGCTCCACACCCAGGAGGGCAGCCAGCAGCACCGGCAGGAAGACCTTCATGCTCGAGGGGACAAACATCCGTGGAGGGCTGACAAAGCGAATGGAGCTGGTCCTGCTGTGGCTGTGAGAGACGAAGGATGCCCACCCATGGCTACGGTCCCAGCTCAGAGCTCAGACGGTGCCAGGTGACTGCACAAGCCTCTCTCTTCCCGAGGGTCATTCACCCCCACTCTGTACAGGGACCTGCCAGTATCCAGCTAGTTACAAACCCCCATCCCCAAATCTGGGAACGGCAAGGTCAGGTACCATTGACACTTTCAGAATCCGAGAGAAAGTGAAGCCCTAGGGGTGGCCCTGTTGATGGTCCTGAGGTAGAGGAACGGCGATCAGAAAGGATACTGGCTAGTTGGGTGCCTACACTCCAGGCCACTCCTGAGGTGGAGACCTGGGGCCCTAGGCTGTTCCCACGAGATGAGGGCTGGGGGCCTGTTCTTCCTTTTTCCTGGGTTTCCACAGGGGTTCCCTGAATGGGCTCTTCCACCACCCGCCACGGCTGGGAGGCAATTTAGAGGAGACAGCAGGAAGGGCTCAATAAATCCTGGTTAGGTGGGGACAACTGACTGCTGTGCAAGATTTACTCTTATCAGCCTTGGGCAGGGAAGGAAAAGGAATGTGGGGGAGTTCAGACCTGGGCAGGCCAGGCCCCTGAGAATGAGTCCCAGGTCTCTCCTTTCTAGGACTGGACTTCAGCCTGTATCTGAAAGGTTAAATGGATCTTTAAAAATTAGGATTTAAAAAAAGAGTTGTTTCCCCAGCTTCCTCCGGCTGAGAGCAGATTTTGCCCTACGCCCCCTCCCCCATCCTACGCCCCCCATCCCTGGGGCCAAGGAGGACTCAATGTTCCCAGCCTGGGCCCTGCAAGTTGGAGTGAGCTTCTGTTGCTGGAGAAGGGTGGACCAGCTGTCCTCCCAATTTGGCCAAATTATGAGTAAATTAATTTTTCCATTTTTAAAGTAAGCTTTTCTCTTACTTGACGGCAGGGGGGTGAACAAATCCAGGGTCCAGATTTAGTCCTTTGACCAAGCCCCTCACTCCACTGGTCTGGCAAAATACTGACATTCTGGGGTTGGAAAAGCGCTCCAGATGGTCTAAGTCAGAGCCAACATCAGTGCCAAACCTGGCTGGGCCTGTTCCCACCTCAGCCCATGGAGGAGAGTTTCCAATTCCTCCTCCAGAAAGTGAAGCTTTTGCCTGGAGGAGCTCTGAGCTGTGGCCAAGGAAGCTCTAGCATGCACAGCCACAAACAAGTCGGGTGTCATCCCTCCCTGTCCACTGTGAAGCACCCACCGGGCCCCGCAGGGCACTAGCAGGAGAGGGTAAGTCTGTTTGATGCTCCCTATGGCAGCGACAGCCAGCAGGCCCTAGGCATAGCTGCCTGGGACCCCAGGACCAGCACAATCTCCCGCCTCCCAGAGTTGACTCTTGAGTGGCCAGCAAGAGAAGTAGGTACCCGTCGGGTCTTCAGGGATGGAAGGGTCCAGGTGCAGCCCAGCACTTTATTTGCACGCATAATCTGGCCCCCAAACCAAGAGATTTCTCACTCTTCCCTGGGGCAAGACTCAATCCCAGGGTAATCAATCATTGGGCCGGTAATCTCCTTCCGGTTAAGGGCTTCCCCAAGATCCTGCACCCCTCCACCCGCCAGTCTGTTCCACGCTGGAGAGTTGGTTGGTGGGCCCCAGTGGCCGCGAAACCCGGCCCTCTTTGCTGTCCAGACCTCTGGAAATATTCGGGAAGGGGTGGGGGAAGGGAGCGGAGGCTCAGCATGGGGACCGGCGCTCTGGCGGCCCCGACCCCCAGCCCCGGACCCGCGCCTCCCTCTCTGAGCTCGCTCCCACCCTTTCCTGGCCCCCAGGGACTGACGGGCGCTGGGGACTCACCGAGGCAGACGCAGCGTTACGGCCTCGCTGAGTCCTGGAGCCGCGCGATAACACTCGCTGGCGGTGGAAGCGCGAGGCCAGAAGCGGGGGCGAGGCGGGGCGGGGCGAGGCGAGGCGGGGCGGGGCCCGGCGGGAGGACCACCCCTGTCGTTGTTTCCGGGGGTCCCGGAACTGCGCCTTGTGCCCGCCCCTTCAACTGTGGGTTCGGTCCCCATCCTAGCTCGTGAGCTTTTGTGAACGTCTCCGGGTTCCACGCGATACGCCGAGAGGGGCTGTGACCCTCTCCTCCAAGACCCCCAGGGCGGTGGTGCCTGCGCCCGCCCGCCCCCCCCGACCGACTTGGCAGGGTTGGATAGGGCGTAGGGCGGTGCGACAGCAGCTGACACCTGAGCCTGTGGGAAAGTCCTGGCCAGACTCCATCTGGGTAGTGTAGGGGCCGCATTTTGGAGGTGGGTGGCACAACGTGGCCTGAGCGGGAGGATGCACCTGTGCCCTCCGCAACTGAGGCCTCGTCCCTGCCCCTGCCGCAGGCCAGCTGCCTCTGGATGCTCTCCGTGGTTTCCGCTTTCGGCTGTTCTGCCTGGGACCCTTTCTCCCCCTGGGCAAGGAGTTGCTGCCCCTGCACCCGGACCCCAACCACGATGGACTGTAGCCTCCTGTCTGCTCCCTCACTCTGCAGCCACCCCTCCCAACACAGGTGCCGAGGTCCAGGTAGAATGAATCCCCACTGCTTCACCTGCGTTCCATATGTATTTTTCAAGTATTTTTGTCTCCAATTGTCCACGAAGGGCTGTTTTATCCGGTGTGCACACATGGATCACTGCTGTGTGTAGGCCTGCCTCCTGCCTGTTCCGAGGGGCCTGCTGGGACACACTGCACAATGGGCAGGAGTCAGCCTCCAGGCCCAGATCCTGGCTGGGCTTTGTCTGACCTCCACTTCCCTTTCCTGCAGAGCCCTATCCACCGACCCATGGGTGTCCCAGCTTGGGCCACCTGCTGTCTGACAGTCACACCTCTGTTATAGCGTATTTCTCATAGCAGTAGCTGGGTCACCCCATTCTGCTCATTTGTCCTCCTCAGCCCAGAGACACACAGAGGGTCTTTTCTTCCACATCCAGACCTGGAGATTTGATTTGTGTGGCCAGCCTTCTGGATGGTGGCTGGGGACAGTGAGGGTGGTCGACAGAAGGGGCTACTTACTGCTGAACAGAGAGGAGGGGCGACAAAGGCAGGCTGTGAGGCAGGATGGTGGGGAAGTCAGAGTGGAGCTGGCCTGCGGCACCTATGAAAGGAGGCCAGCCAAGGCAAGACTAGGGCATGTTCACGTTTGAATGTAGAGTATAATTTGTGTGAGGGTGTGTATGTGTGTGGTGTGTGTGTATACATGTATAGTATATGTATGTGCCTGGTGTAAGTACATTTGTGAGTGTGTGGTGTATGATTTATGTGAATACATGTACCTGTGTGATATGTATGTATGGGTGTGTGTAGTATATATAGCACGTGAGTGTGTATACATGTGTATGTGTGTATGGTGTGAGCATGGGTACATGGTGTGTGTATGTGTCCTTGTATGCCTCCAGGGACGTAATCGCACAGAATCATGAGATAGATACATTTGGGAGACTTCTGGGGCTTATTCTCTGAGGCTGAAGATGGGGCACCATGTGGGTCCTGGCTCTGGTGTGGTGACCTCTGTGGGCTGGGGTTCCATGGCTTTGAGGCCAGTGCCCAGGCTGTCCCTAGGATGGGAGACGACACACAGGAGGTGGCCAGGTGGGCACTCTGTTCCTGGGTCTATGACTCTCTGCCTTTCTCTGGTGTCCTGGATCTGCTCCCATCCTTGGTGTCTCTTGCACCTCCTCCTGGGGTCTGGAGCCCTTTAACCCCTGCCCGGAAGGGATTTGGTGAATATCAGCCCCCCGGGGGTACACACTTCTGACTTCGCATTTCTGGTTTCTGGTTTTGCTCTTGCTTTGTGTCTCTCCATTAGAATGTCAGTTCTCCAGGACAGGGGACATCATTGGTGTGTCCAGCACCTAGAGCCATGTCTGGTCCATGGCAGGTGCCCAATAAGTCTTTGTGGGAGGAGACCATGGGTGTTCCATTCAGGACAGGCTTTGATTTGGAAAACAAGCTACATTAAGAGGAGTCTCTCATGATTCTAGATGTCCAAGGTCACTGCCATGGACCAGCCATGAAGCTCAAGTACATTTGAAATGCTGTGTCTAGAGGACCCTGGCTGTGCATGGCCAAGGTGGGGGTGTGTCAAAGCCCAGTATCACTGTTGGGGTCATTTCTTGCAAACTTCTCCCTAAGGTGTCTGGCTGGCCCCCTTAGTGCTATGCCTGGTTTGTGTGTGATCAGCACGTGTACAGGTTAGATTAGCTGACTTGCCTTGGACGTTCACTTCTGGAACTACTGCATCCCTGGGACATGAGAGGTTGGGATGTGTTTCCCGAAGGAGGTCTCCAAGAGATTACCATCCAGAGTGATGGCTATAGCAGATGCACTCGTACTTTACTCGAGCCCCCAACTCCCATATCTTTTCTGTAGAGGCACCAGTGAATGGCCAGGTTCCGTCCGTCCTTTTGTGAGTCTGCAGCCATCCTATTCTGCCTACTTGACCTCCCCAGGGCTGCCCAGGGACACAGGGAAAGTCTTTTCTCCACACCCAGACCTGGAGATCTGACTTGTGTGACCAGCATCCTCTTTGGTTTGGCTTAATCCCCTGTCCCTGTTGCCCAGGCCAGCCCCTGCAGCCCACACACATCTTGTGATAGGAGGCTGCTCAAGGCCCACCCTGTAGAGGGTGCCCCTGGCTGGCACTGCTTTCCCTTCCCCAGGGGAGACTCTGGTGAGGCTCCCAGAACCTGTCCTCAGATGTTGGTGAGGGCAGCCTGAGCCTGCGAATCCATCTTCCAGGGCACATGTAACATAAGAAGTGTGATTATCTTGATCTTTCTGGCTGGCTGGGCTCCATGTGGTGACAATGGCCATCTGTGGTTGTAGCAGACATCTCTGCCCAGTACTAGCAGGCTATGAGTGGCACCTGCTTCTTGCTTTCTATAATTTGGCTTTATTATTTTATATCAGGAGTCAGACCAAAGCTCTATGTGACTCAAATGGGCATGGCAGATGGCAGACTGGGAGAGTATAGCCCCTTCCCCAATAGCTGCCACAGAAACCTTGGCCCTGGTCTGTGAAGTGGCAGGGCTCTGCTGAGTTTCATGCAGCTGAGGCCAGTGTGACCCCAATTAAAATCCTTTCCCCTGAATTATGGCTGTCATGGACCCAATGGGTCTAGTACTTGTTTAATCCAAGCAAGATAAGCAGTGCTTACTACCTTATATCCCTGCCTGGTACCATCATGCTAGGTGTTCGGCAGTATATCACTAGATGCCTTCAAAGTATATCCAGCTCCCTATTCTTTCCCACGATAGTATTTAATAAATACTGGATGTGCTTGGGGGCCTTTGTCTTTGCTGCCATCAGCAGCACTGATTATGCCCCAAGACTCAGCTTCTCCACTCTAAGTCTCATTTCCTGTCTGTTCTTTAATTTACCTTGTGCTCTAGTGGCTCACAAGAGGCCAGGACCCACAGCAAAGGTTCTGGCAACATTCCCTTCCCCATTCCCTATATGTGGTATGACTTGGGCATGGTGATGGTGGGCCCATGTGAGGTGGGCCTAAGTCACTGTGGACCTGCTCTCCCCTGAGGCACTTCACCTTGTGAAGGTGGCCTGTGGTGGAGTGGCCTCAGCTAGAAATTTTTGTCCTTTTCTCCCTGGGCACAGAAATACCCACCTCAGCAGGCCTTGGCACCTAGCGGGAACTGGCATGCTGGCTGTACCTCTGGGGTGGACTAATCATCCCAGGACTGGAATCTCAGCTGCCCCAGTGCCCTGGCTTTACTAGTCCCTCCTGCTTGGTGGTCTGGGTTCCCATCCTCTACCATCCAATATGTTTGGACTTTTTCCATCTGGCTGCGTCCTGTCTGAGGACGTGACTTTAAGGAGTACTTATGTTCAACAGTCCTCATGACCCTTCAGAGAGAGATGCAATCTCCAGAGGCCTTCTGGAAGGCATTCAGCCTTCCATCTATGTGTATTTCTGGATCCTTGCATTCCACAGAGTTAACTTTGAGCAATTTTATGACTCATAGGTGTGTCTTCCTCCTGTGTCTGCTTTTCCAGTTTGGGCCTACATGCCTTGGCTGAATCCCCACTGTCCTTCCACACACTCAGGGCAGGGCAGGGCTGGGAGAAGGGACCAGAAGTTCCTCCCACAGCCTGAGTAGACTGAGTCCTGTGGGTGGAGGCACAAGATCTTCCTCTGTGGCCATGGAGCTTCTTCTTTGACTTTAAAGCAAGACCTTCTGGTTGGGGCTGCTTCCTTTCCCGGTTGCCTGCCTCCTGCTATGCAGTGCTCTTCCCAGCAGGCCCCACCTGAGGCAGTAAGGCAGCAGGGGGCACATACTTCCTAAGCCCCCCTGGGCTCCCCTGAGCCTCCACCCTGAGGCTGTCCCTTATGTCCCTCTGATGACCCAGAGGCTCCGGTAAGCAGTCCAGCAGGTACAGGCAACTCTGAGAGATATAAAGGAAACATCCCAACTGGGAGGGGACCCAAAGAATGACTTGGACAAGTCCAGCTTGGTGAGTAACTGAGTTTATTAGGGGTTACTCACAGAGCAGTGGATGACATGGGGGCTGCAGTACCCCAAAGTTGCCAACCCCCTTTGCTCAGCTACTGGTTTTGAGGGTACTAATTAAGATAGCAAAGGCATGATCAAAACAAGAACAGGCTTGGGGAAAAGCTGTGCTTTCTATTCCCATCCCATCATTATTGGGAACCCAATAGTCTCAGCAAGCACTGTCCAGCTGCGGTGGTAATGACCTTGTTGTGCTACAGACTGGTGCAGAGCCTCAGCACCTAGCAGGAGCCATGGACAGCTACACAGGTACCCATTACAAGACGGGAGTAATGTGGCTGGGATGGAAGGACAATTCTGTCTACACTTAGAATGACTCTTCTCCCCTCTCAAACCCTAACCTTTCCCAACCTTGAGAAGTTCCAGACCCTGCTCTGGAGCA